CCTCACGCCCCGCTCGTTACCCAGCACCAGCGATGCGACTCAGTGTCCTCCGCTGCGCTCCTCCGGCAGACACCGGCGGCTCCCACACACCGCGAAGGGGCACGGAGAGGCCTTCCGATGAGACCCGTTCCTTTTCAGCGCCACGAATAAGCGGCAGTAACTCACGAGGAAGGGGTCATCCCTCCCGTCTTGCGCCCCCTCTCCGCCTCGCACTGGGCGCCGCTACCCCTCGGTAGCCCCCGGCCTTCCCCCTCACCTCTCCGCACTCCCCGCGAGAGGGGGCTTCGGGGCGGCTCCTCCCCCTCCCCGAGGGCCCACCTGTGTCCCCCACGGCCGCTCTGCCTCCGCAAACCATGGCCGTGCCGCCGGGGCATCCGCGGAGCCTGCCGCTCCCCCGGCACCGGCTCCTTTCCCCGAGCCCACCCTCCCGCCGCGGGCGGGCCCGAGGCGCCGAAGCACAAAAACGCGGCCGGGGGCACCGCGGCCGACAAAACAGGAGCTGCCGCCGCGCCCCCTTTTCCAGCGGGCTCGTCCGGGATTTGAACCCGGGACCTCTCGCACCCGAAGCGAGAATCATACCCCTAGACCAACGAGCCGCTCTCTCTTGCCTCCTCCCCAGCTCAGCACTTCACTTACTTCCCGCCTCCTCCCGCCCAGCGCCAGACATCCCCCTCCAGCGTCTTCGTGGGTCTGCCTCCCCCCCCCCCAGACTCCCAATGGTTCTGCCCACCGCTTCGGAAGACACCACTCCTCTCCCTAACTGCGGAGGCTGCTGCGATTTCCCCCTGCCCCCCCCCCCACCGGTAACCCGTGGCATCGCCCTTCCCCCGACCCTACGGCTCCGCTTGGTAGAGACGATTCCGAGTCCCCCGGGTGGGGGGCAGCGGCCCCCGCGGCGCTCCCCTGCGCAGATACCGCTCCTGCGCTCTTCCGAGGGGCGGAGGAACGACAACCCCCTCCACGCTTCGCGCTCGCACCAGACGCGCGTGGCGGGCAGGCACGGCCAGCGGTGCTCGAAGCCGAGCGAGCTCATTCACAGCGGATGGGAAGGGGGGAATGGGGCTCCCCCCACCCCCGAGCCGCTTTGGTTTATCCCGGCCCGCGCAGTGCCAAGCCATTAGGCGCTGCGCCCCCTCGAGGTGTGAGGGCGGGCGGCGGCGCGTGCCGCTCTCCTCAGTGGGGCGGGCAGGGCCTTCCAGCCCCCGCGCCCTCCTGCCCTGTGGGGTCGGGTAGGGGGGATACGCACGTAACTGCGTGCGCAGATGCGTGCGAATCCTCTCATGGCAGCCCCCCAGGCGGGTGAGGTGAGGGCCTGTGGGGGGCAGCTGGTGGTTCCGTTCCAGCAAGTGGCCACAGGAGTGGCCGTTGCGGCCTGCCAGAGGCTGCGAGGGAAATGGCTTAGTAAAGGGCCTGGGGCTTCTGGGAGAAGTGCCTCAGTGTTGGGAGTGTATTTCTCATGTGTTGGTGCCCAGAGGAGCCGGCGGCGTTCCCTTCGTTTTCTGTACCCACTCCCCACTGCTTCTTTGGCTCCCACTTGGTCCCTGATGTGCTGTATCTTGCCAACGCTTCCTGCCACCCTCAAGCTTCCCCCTCCTGTTTCCACACCTCTGTACCAGCCTCCCTTGCATCCCAGACCTTTCAAAAAACCCTATTCCTCCCATGAGTAATTGCCTTCAGTCTTCACCCATCCAACACTTTTCTTGTGGCTCACGCTACAGTTTAAACACAGACCAATCAAAAAATAACCATAAAACCAACAAGCTCCCAGCCAAACACAACTGCAACAGTCTCCTTGCTCTTCTGCTGCATTCCTTTCTCCACTATATCTTTATTCTTGCTCTGTTTTCCATCCTTCCCTTCCCCCTCCCCCAATTTAAAGGTCTTCTGGCCTATAACATTTGTGCTTTTACTTTTTTTTTGTCTTTCAGGCACCATCTACAGAGAGGAATTATATAAATTATATCAGATTTTTCTTGCTGAGGGCATTTTCCTGTTTGACCATCAGTGTTCTTAAACCTGACATTATACACTCCAGCCTCAGCAATCTGACAGATACATATGGGTCTGAATACGCGCCCTCACCCCATATGCCAAGCCAAGCTGTGGTCTGCATTTCAGTCAGAACTTTTTGACTCTGTACACCTTGTGGATACAAGACCACGCTGCCCAAGCCAACATTTCCCAATAGTATGGATGGGGCAGGGACACATGCCCACATGCATCCTCTGCTTTTGCAGTGTCACAATGCTAATGCTGGCCAAAGAATCTTTTCCAAAATTGCTCTCACTTGGCCTGCAGACAGGGCAAGGTTTGTGCAGCGCCCGAGTGAGCATTGCCCCAAGAATGATGTGTGGATGCCTTCAGCTGAGAAACAGGCATCTTTTTCCCTGCAACTTGTAAAGCCGTCAAGGACAAAGATGGTGATGCAACGTCTGGCACAGAAAGTGTCTAGACAGTTGATTGCCAGAAACTGGGAAATCTCACAGGAAGGATCACTGTGTGTCGCTTTGGTTTTTTTATGCTTCCCCTGAACAAGGATGCTGTTGGAGAAATGGCAGTAGGCTAGATGGCTTTGCTTTCTTCTGTTCCTAGATACCTGATACCTGCAGGGCTGGGGCAGGGCGCGTGGCAGCCTCCGGTGTCAACGCTTGCCCCAAAGAACACCTTCCTTTGTGGATTAAGCACATTGGTTATTGCTGTTCCGCCAAAGTAAAAAATACCACAAATTAAATTAAAATTGAATGTTAAACTGTTCCAATGGCAGTGGAAATCCCACCTCTATTTTGCCTGCTGCTACAAGCGCTCTCCATCCTTCCTCAGGCTCCTTCATCTCCCCAGGAAGAAACACAAGGATTTAGTTTTGGTTGGGTTTTATTCCACCATTTATTTCTTCTGTTTCTCCCTCGGATTTCCATTCCGTTGCTCGGGACACACATACTCATCCTCTAAACAGGCACACATATATCTATATATACAGTAAGGGACAATCACTCACATCCAGATGGGACACTCTGCTGAGAGAAGAAACAGGGTACAGCGAATGATTGCAGCCTGCCCTGGAATACAAGCTCTAACAAACAGATTAAAATGGATTCAAAGGCAACAATGCTCCACAACATGGCTCAAAAGGGTGTGGGGTTCATGTTTGTCAACAAGCCCGTGCTACATAGCAGGGTCAACACCGCTGGCTCTCAGCAAATGACACCTCAGTGCTCTCACCTGGGAAAAAGAAAGGCAGGGCTCAGAGCCACTTCTTTCCTCATGAATTTAGAGCTGGTGAACAGAAAGGGGATATCCTTCAAAACCATCAGGTTTGTAACACTGCTGTGTTGCAGAGCCCACTCAAGGACAGATGTGGGCTGTGTTGTGTAAAATCCTTGTGCTTGTCTAGAGAGACAGGGACAACCCAAGCCTCTGACTCTGCTCAGCTTAATGTTTACTAGGAGGAATTTTGTGATGGATGAACAGGAGCTGGCTGTTTCTGCCTTTGGTCTTGGTAGCTGCGTCTGTGTTGCTGGGTACTAGGTGGCTGGTGGCAGGTTCAAACACTGGCTCCTGACCACTCACACTGCCTAACAGCTAGTCAACAACTTGGCTCAGATTTTGACAAGTGTGGCTTGCTGTCTCCAGTGAGCCCAGACTTGTCCACAGCTCCACGTCACGCTGTAGACATGAGCCCCACGGCCTTGAGCCAGAGCAGCTTTTTATTCAGTATTGCAGATACAGCTTCAAGCACTACTGTCAGGAAAATGGTCGGGTGAGGGTCTGTTATCTATCTTTCCCCAAATAACTTATTTCTTATGGGTAACAAATACTCTCTGGATGTAAAAGCTTTTTTGGCTTAGCAACTGCTAGACCCATGACTTAACTAGTAACCCAAGAGTGAATGCAAATCTAGTACAACGCCTAAGTACTTACGAGGGACTGGCTATCTGACTTTCACCAACTCATATTCAGCCAGGCCATATGACTGGAAACTCAGCCATCTAAGACCTCTTCTTTGACCTACATAAAATCAGCTGTTTCCAGTAAGCCAGGATGCTTTCTATCATGAGTGGCACTTGGTGGCCACGCACTGAAAGTTTCAAAAGAGAATCAAGAGATTGGATAGGGTCTGGAAGTAAGAAAGACTGACAGACAGGCGGCCTTTCTAAATCTGGACTGCAGCCCAGAGCCGGATAAGAAAACTTGCTCTGTTGATTGACATAGCACATCTTTTCTGTGCATCAAATCTGTTGGTTGTTACTTTCCACCAGCACTAAATACACCCCAGAGTTGAAGCACACAGAAAAATTGCCTGCCATGGCTGGCTGTTTCACAGATCAGCTAGCCTGACCCCCACATCAAAGGGATTTTATGCTTTATGAACAATGTCCTAAGTTTTCCCCATGTTCAGGGTTCACATTGTCTGCCATACAGCACATATGGAGAAAACATACTTTTTCCGACTCTTAAAACATTATTTACTGAAATTTGAAAACCCAAAATATTTCAAAAGAAGCTACCAAAAGGCACCATAGATGTATGTATGTAACTGATGAACTTCATCTAAAACCAATGCAGGGGAGAAGAAAAAGACATTTTGGAGCAGGATGAAGGAGCAGGGGGACCAGGAGTGGTGGTGGCTGTCGGCTCTAGGACAGCAAGTATCAGGTCCCTCAGTCCCCAAATATCACCAAGTAATGTCAGCCAACACCTCAGTTTTGAACTCAGAAGTGGCTGCAAGCCAGTCTCTTGTTCCGACTGTCCCAAAAGTTGATGGTGCAAAGCGGAGAGCCAGTGAGCAGACACTCAGCTCCGGGATGAGTCTGGGCCTCAGGGGATATCTGTATGCTGCTCCTCTCCTGCCACTGAAGGTTTTCTAGTAGCTTCCACCTTGATTGGGTTGGATGCCTCTTATTCACATGTTAAGTCTCCTGTGCCCTGATTGGGTGTGTCCTTTTGAGAGGGGAAAAGAAAGGAAATTATGAAAAATAATCATGGGTCTAAGTAAATACAGTGCTGGGGGTCTGTGACCTGAGGGTACTTTGGTAGTTTCCATGCTAGGAGGCAAAGGCGAGCTGCAGCCTGAGCACCAGCCTGCTTCCTTCAGTTGCTCCTTGTCAAACCAAGGAGGCATTTGAAGAGGGGACAGGTGGTTGAGGTGGAATGAGATGTTTCCTCAGGCATCTGTGTCTACATTATAAGTGGTTAGAGAATATGTAAGAAGCTACATGGAACAAGCCCCGCTTTAGCCAGTGGAAATCCTCTTTTATTTCAAGTGGCAGAGGCCCATGTTTGCGTGCTTGCAGGGCTGATCATGAAACCAGTATGTGTGCAAACGCTATTTTTGCTGGCAAAGCTAACAAGCTAATCATGGAGAGAGAGAGAGAGAATATATATATATATATGCATGTATAGATACAATGTGTGCACACACATATATATACACAAATATGTATATGTAAGGAGGCATATTGAGATAGTATATACATGGTTACTGCTGGGGAAAAGTGCTTTTTACTGTAAGTACTTTCAAATTGCTTTCAGAAGAGCAATTGAGCAGGCTGCCTGGTGAGCAGAGCCTTCCCATTTTACTGAATCCAGAATCAGCTTTGCTTCTTCTCCATCCTCTCTCTCTATAACACCACCCAGCAGGGCTGGTTATTTTGAATAACCTGCCTTGCAGCCTCTGCAGGCCTGAGATTTCATACTTTTGAGGTGTCGGAGCAGCAAAAATGTTGGTGTGTTCTGTCACAGTTGCCATTTTCATTAATAAGCAAAACCCTCTGGTGTTTTAGGAGCCATCATCATGCTGACCCATCTTACCTGTGTGTCATGGTTACGCTGTGCCCTGGTCCTGTGTGGCTGATGTTGAAGGCTCACTGGCAGTCTCTAAGCCTACAGCGTCCTGCAGCGGTTCAGGTGCCAGCGATGCTTCTTTAGTGTCTGACGTTCTCCATGTGTCTGTGCTCTCACTGGGCTCCTTTGCTTCAGCTTCAGCTTCAGCTTCTTCCTTCTCCTTGTCCCCCTTTTCCTGTTCACAGGTGCTGCCTTGCTGCTCTTCTCCCTGGAGACCCTCACACACCTTCTCCTCCTTGTTTCCAGATGGAGGCTGGGGAGAGTTCTCCTCCCCTGGGGCACTACAACACACTTCCTCCTCCTTCGTATCCCCTGCATCACTCTTGCAAGGAGTCATTTCCTCTGCCTGTTTTTCCCCTTTTTCTTCATCTGATCTGCTGGATCCTCTCCTTGATGGGGGCTTCTCATCAGACCCTGTCTGTTTCTTTTGCTCTTTGCTCCCTGTTTCTGCCTCCTCTGTCTTGGCCTTGGGCCCAAATACCTCATCCCCATCTTCCTTGGCACCATTTTCTGGAGAGGAGATGTTGACCCCTAAATCTTCGCCGTCTCCATACTCGGACAGAGATCTTCGGAACCTCCTGGAGGGAGGCCTGCGCTTTATCGATCCCCGCGTCCGCACCTTGGAGGCAGGAAAAGCAGACATTGAAGCAGACAAAGAGAGTGGTACTGCAAAGCAGGAAAGCACAACAGAGGAAAATACCATGGGAAACTTGATTGCTATGCTGGTGGCCTCACTTTTCCTGCTCTGCTACTGAGAGGTAGGGAGACGAGGGCTCCTATCCCTGAGAGACTACTTTACAGGACAAGCAGCTCCCTAATATATGCCTCCTTTCCTTCTGTACAGCTGGTGCTAGAGATTGCTGCCCCAATATAAACTCTTGTCCAAGTTAGACCCTAAACCCAAGGACGCTGCATTTATTATGCAGATGCTGCTGACTTTTTGGATGTCTCAGTCTTTTCTATTCTTGGCAGTTTGGTGGTTGAGGAAGGAGTTTGCACTCCAGCTGATGATGGTGAATGCAGGTTACAGCTCCCCATTTAAGTGCTGTGTACTCTGTGGGACACCTGGCAAACCGTCGTGCTCCACGTGGCTCCCTAAACTGCACCTCAGCCACCTTTGACATTTGCTGGCATGTGGCACCACCTCCTCAGAGTGCTCCCTGCCCAGGAACCAGCCACCCTGTTCCTGCTGAGCGGAAATCACTGGGTCCTGCCACTTCACCCCTTCCCTTTACCCATTTGGTCAGGAAGGCTGCTGGAGCTACTGGACCATGAAGCCCCATGTGCAGCTGGGCAGAGAGGAAACTCTACAGAGCTACACAGTTTCAAACCCGGCATATAGATCTCCCTTGCCTACAAATGCACACTGTTATGGCAGGACTGAGGGCTACGGCCTCCTCTTCCTCTTCATCCCCAAACCATAAGCAAGCCTTATCCTGCTGTGATGGAGAATCAGCCTACCTTGTTATAGAATTGCAGCTGAGTGCCTTCCGGGGGTTGATCAAAGCTGACGGGCGTCTCATTCCCTTCACTGGGCTGGGACTGAATCCCTGGGCTGCTGGGCGTTGAGGGAGGGGTGCTGAACGGAGAAACCAGGGCTTTCAGACCAGGGCTTTTGGGAGATGCTCCCGGCAGCAAAGCAGCTGGAGCAAAAGCTAGATTGGCCTGCAAAGAAAAATCCCCGTCACGGGCGTGCATGACACTGTCATGTACTACATGCGGTAACCACAAGGAGGAACCCTTGCTCTTGCCACGGGAGCTGCCCCATCTCTCAGCTGTCACAACCCACATACCTTCTGGTTATGGGTCTCTGCTGGTGACACTGTCAACAAACAAGTCCGGGCAGAGAAGTTATGACTGGACATTTGCCCTTCCCCAGCAGCTGGATCTCAGGATGTGTCCGTTTGTCATCCTGAGGCCTTTGGGGATTTTCCAGTGACCCTGCCAAGCCAGCACAGTCTACAGTGGCTGAGCCGGGAGAAAGTCTGAGCAAGCAGCCAGCAATCACTTCAAGATTTAAACCAACCCTGCGTGTGCCCAAGCAGACCTCGCATTTTCAAGCTGCAGATCTTCTGAATGATCTGCGCAGTCATGAGGAGCGAGAAGACTATGGAAAGAAGCAATTCGTGATTAACCGTGGCAAAATGCTTCCTGCTGGCCTGTCACTAAGAAGATCTCCTAGGCAAATGTCCTTGGGTGCATTAAGAGGGACAGTGCTATGAATAGGCTGATGTTGTGCCAGGGTGGCCAGGAGGCACTGTGCTCGGGAGCTGCACGTGCTGCCAGGAGAGGCGGCTGGCAGCAGCAGGGCACTACGTCCACGGGCTTTCGAGTGCTGAGCTGCCCTCAGCGGCATGGACCAGGCACGGCCGGGAGATACAGAAAGGGCAAGAAGCACTGGGTGTGTTTGTGCGTAACTGGGGGAATCGAGGCGAGGAAAGCGCAGAGCTTCTAGGCACGCGCTGGGGAGAGCCAGAGCCCGGAGTGCCCTTCCCACTGCCAGGATTTTAGCTGCCTGCACTCAAGGCCTGCTCCCCAATAGGGTGCAGGTGGCTCAGTTTGATTTAGACTGCTGCAAAGAAATTGCTGAAAGAAGCCTTAGCCAGGCTTTCCCTCACTTTCTCTCGCGAGCTGTATTTAAACTGAGGGTCCAGCCCCTGCTCCTTACCTGAGCTGTGCTGCTGCCATGCCTGTGCCCAGGCATGTACCCCGCAGATCCCAATGATGTTGGCCCATGCACTGACCTGCCTATGGACGTGCCTGAGGATCACTGGACTGTTTCTAACACTGGTTACCATCGCCAGACCTGCTCTGCCTTCCTTGTTTGTGTATTGTGGGACTGGGCCTTCATCAGTGAGGCCACTGCCCTGCTTACCTATCTGTCACCCTTGGCTCCTGGATCCCCTTCCCCTGTGGCTGCTCCATAAGGGAAGTAGCTATGACAAATGCCAATCAGTTTTAATTTGCTGAGGGAGCCATGTGGGCTCTTCCAAGACCTACCTGCAGCTTTTCAATCATGGGGGAGCTTTTCACCTTGACCTTAGGAATGGGGCAAGCATTTGGAGACCGCTTCTGCAAAACAAAATGAAACATGAAAAAGTCACAGTAAAGTAGGTGAAAAAGAGGAAATACAATGAAGGGAGAAAACCTGGAAGAGATAAGCAGAAAGTGCTAGTAGGGGAGCAAATGAAGCCTCATATAGCACCTTCACACAAAAGCTTGCTTGCTTCTTTCCTGACCCTGCTCCCCTTTTATTATCTAGCCATCCCAGGGCTCTACATATATGTATCCTTCCTCTGGGAGAAAAGGTGATTGTTTGCTTTCTGGCTGAAGTATGTGAGTTAGGTGATGTGTAATGGCTCTGCTGCTACATGGCCTTCACTAAGGTATCTAACCTATGACAGTTTCCCCTAGTATTATTTCAGGACAAGACAGATTAGAATTCTACCTCTTAAAGGGTACAAGCCTTAATGTTGGTAAACATTATGAACTTTTTGTGACAGGAAAGACTTTCTGCCAGCACTTGACTAACAGAGTTAAAGGGTATCCAATTAGTATGCGCAGGAAAGGCCTAAGTGGCTGGAAAGGTAGAGCTATGAAAGCCTGAAAACAGTTTGAGAAAGGGAGAGCATTGCTTTGAGAAGGGGCATATTGCTTTTTTCAGGTCCAAAGGAAAAGGAAGGAATCTAAGATTTTAAAGCTTGTGCTGCTTTGGCATGGAGGCAACAAGAGCTTGTTGCTGTCAGAAAAGAAGGATGAAGAACCACCCCCTTGTTAAGGGCAGGTGACAACGTGAAATTTGGTGGGTAGACCTCATACCCTGAAATACAGGACAGAAGTGACTGGAAAGGGCCTGAGCACTTTAGTGACTAGCAGCCAGCTTACTGGGACCTGCTCATTCAAAGGTGTATGGAGGACACCTCAAGACAATATTCTGCGGGCATTGCTGACAAAACCCCTCTTCACTCTGGATTAATTATTCCCTTTTTCTGAAGACGGAAAAATCTCAAGAGCAGAACTATTACGCCATTATACTCAAACCTCTAGAGTTCATCTGAAGGCAACAAACAGCATGGATGCTCCCTGTGCTAAGCGCTGTTCAAATCTGATAAATGCCAACAGTTCCTGCTTTAAAATGCTTGAAAGGTGGTAACTGGGTGGATCTGTCAGTGCTCTAAAGGTAAAAACAAAAGCGGTAGAAATGGGATGTGTATCCATGCTACAGGAGTGGGAAACAGCGTGGAGCTGACCCTGAGTCAGTACATGTGTGTGAGCAGGGGAAGGTTTGATGCTGCATGATTGATGTCTTTTGCTGCACAGTCTGACCTCTCTGCTACCTCCAGGCTTGTGTCTCAGGAGAGAAAAGGTTGCAGAGAGGAGAGAGCTTGTCCCCCTATTAAATTGATACTCACTTGCTCATCATTGTCACTTGTCTCAGTTTTGTGGGGATACAATGGAAGAGAGCATGGTGGTTTCCTCCGAGCTGGCTTATGTGGTGGTACCTAAGAGAAGAAAACAACCAACTCAGCAGCAGGGAAATGAGGTTTTTTTTTAAAAGGAAGTGAAATTCAAGCACCAAGGGGCATGCTCTGTAAGTGACCTGTTTGGATGGCAGGGCTCAGCTTGCCTAAAGGAGTCATCCAAAGGTAGTACAAGATATTAGCATATGGCATGTGGCAGCATGCTTGGTGTGCTTGTAGCATCTCGAGCCCAATCTTAGTGCTGGAAAAGTAGTCTATATCTCTTTCCACAGCATGAACCATGACACTTCAGGCTTTGTGCAAAGGACACTGTTCTAAGCTGTGGAGGGTAGAGAAGCCTTCCCAGAAGCTTCATCTTCAAAGCATCCTACTGAAAACCCCCTCACACTGGAATAGCTTGTTATTGTTCTCTGTCCTGTCTTACTACCAGGATTTCCTTTTAATAAGTCTCAGCTGCCTACCTGGTTCATGATTTTCCTATTTTGCATCTGATATATTTTAGGGGCAAAAAGGGGAATTCTGACTTTTTCAACAAGCTGTACACCCCCATTCGTTTCTCTCTAGTGAAGAAGAGCAGCTTGCAGAGACAAGTCCTCAGCTGTAACCTTTAATTTGACTAAGAAACAGATTCTCCAAGGGAGAAGGAACAAGGCAACTTAACAGCAGGGACACCAGTTCCTTTTGAATGTCCTTGGACTCTCAGAGGTACAAGAGTGCTCACTAGGAAAGAAGAGGTGCATAGCACAGCACCTATGGAGTTACTTCTTCATAACTATTGCTCTGGTCTTGAAGCCAAGCTGCCTTTATTTTCATGCCAGGTTTGTAGTCTCCTGCCAAGCTGTTAACACACTTTTTATAGGTTAACAGACAAAATAGAGAATACTGTGGATCTTGGATAATATCCACAATGTAATATTTGGATAATTTTGTTACCTTCTAAATGGCAGGCATGTGAAAAGTTGGACTATGGCATCTTTGCCCTCTGTAGAGTTGGCTGTCTTGGAGGACCTGTAGACTTGACGACACTTAACTTCTGGAGGTGCTGTACCCAGCAATGGCAATGCTGCCTCTCTAAGCAGCCAAGGGCAGCCTTGCCCTTATCCTTATGTCATTCTAGGAAGCAATAATACCATGTCTTACTGAAACCCCACCATTTTGCAACCATGAAATGCAGCACTGTGCCACAGTGAATGTATCAGAGGTTCCCTGGTTGATAGGTTCCCCTTTGCTGGTATGGGTCAAGCAAGGGTTAAAGACTATCCACTCAGCCATTAATCTGAAGCCAGCTTGAGAAAGCTGGTGGGGAAGTGACAGATGGCTTGGAGAGAAAAGACAGGAAACTTTGTCCTCCTCTGTCTCTGGAGAAAATGAGTTTCCCCCCACTGTGAGGCCCCTCCACACCGCCTTGGCTTGGGAGCAGCAGAGGTCTGCAGATAACACAAGAGAGGTCTGGGAACTTGCTGCTTTCTGAAGGGTGAGGGACTTAGTGCAGTTAAATCCCATACCTTAAAAAGAGGAAATGACTGTAATGGAATGGATGGAGTGGTGCGCTGGTGACTAGAGAGAAAAAAAAAGAGTGCTTGGGAAGAGATTGGCTATTCCCATCCTGGGGTCTGGCTATGGGAGTGCTAACCTCTGGTAGATGGTGGCATGCCAGCACTGCAGGACAGAGGTCACCATTGCATCCAGCCAAAGACCGGAGGGGTGACAGGGAGGATCCCCTTAGGCCCAGCCTGGGACATGCTGAAATCAACTGAGCAGCAGAAGGAAGCAGTTCAGTTTTAAAGGGGCACCTACTGAATGAAGTAAACGGTAAACATTTATGCTTCTAAAAAAGTGCATAATGATACAGGAGGCTCTCCTAAAATGTCAGCCTCCATCCATAAACACTCTGACTTTCCTTTCTTTCTAAGAGAGGTATTCTAGTGTTCTGCTTATCTGGTGAAAGACAGCTTGTAAGGTAGTGCTTGGCATAGTGGGCTTTCAATAAAATAAATTTCAGCATGACAGAGGTAGGCACAGAGTCTGAAAAGTCATTGGGAAGAGGTAATGAGGGCAAGTAAAGAGACAGCTTTGACTCATACAGAAGGGATTACCTGGAGGAAACCTCCTTCTGTGAACAAGGTGCTGGTGACCTGCCACTGGCTTCTACACTGCGTAATCTGTTGTTTGCTTTCTTTTTCCATGGCTCATTGTTAGCTATTTCATTATTCATTGTTGCCCTCTGCCCACAAAAGCCAGCCCAGAGAGCACATGCATTGCTGTCTGCTGCTGTTAGTATGTGTATGTACCCTACCGAGCTTTCCAGTGTCTCAGTTACAGTGTCTAGTTGTCCTGAGGTATGGCTCTACCAAAATACTTGTCCACAAGTTAGCAATGCATGGAAGATACTGTCATAGCTTGCATTGCACTAGGAGGCAAATCCTTTGTGAAGATTCAAAATCAAAGCAGATTCACGCTCAAATCACTGATGCTCTAACTCCTACAGGCAGAGGTGAATGCCTCAATTCCCAGTCTATTACCTGCTGGTGGCTGCAGTGCTCCTTACCTCTTTTCCAGTGATATTGGCTGCTTGCTCTTTGAATTTCCCTGCTAGCTGAGCCACTGAGGGTGATGCCGACTTGTCCACCTCTGAGTTGGTCTCTGCTGGCCTGTTCTGACAAATTGGGAACAACAAGTTATGAGCAAAGGCTGGGAAAAGCAAGCAGGCTAGAGAGAAGCCTGTGTATGTGTTACAAAGTTCAAGAGTAAGCAAGGACTTAAAGCAGAGTTTCTCACATCTGGCATCAATCATTCAGTCTGAGAGCAAGAGGTTTGGGAAGACAGGACCTAGCAGCATTTTCAAATATCCCAGAAAAACAGTAATTCATGCAGAGCCTTTCAGCTCTAGTTGAAGAGCCTACACTCAGTATTTTTCACTGGAAGCAAACTAAGTATTTCAAGCCAAGTGTCTGTTCCCCATCTCTTCCTTGCAGTGAGCAGATGGAGTAGGGCAGTAAAGGATGTTCCCATCCACCTTCTCAGCCCTCCCATCCCTTTTTTACTGCCCTGGTCAATGGTGCCCTTCCTTTTCCAGTGGTTCTGCTGTGAGAAGCCATTCCCTGTCCTCGAAGCAAGCCAGCATCTGCTTGGGGATGTCCCTGTGCTGTTCTACTTTTTTGGCAGTGAAATACTCAAGGTGGGTGGCGGGGAGGGAAGGAAATACCAGGGCTGAGAGCAACTTCCCCTCCCCTGGGTCAACAACAGGCTGAGAAGTGGGAGGCTTGTTGGAGACTGGATGGTGCAGCTCTTCCCACAGCACACAGCTCTGGTGTCATCCCACATGAACCTTGTTTTCTTTGCTATGTGTGTATCAAGCAATATGAGTAGAAAGCCTTGAAATCAAAGTTGATGAAATGAAACCTTGTTCTTCATCTCTAGTATCTGATGCCAGGGAAAACTGAACCAGAGGAACTGAGAACAACTAACCAACAATCCTTGTTTTGTTAGAGGCGGACACCTCAAAACAACAAACCAGGCTACAAACCATCAGCAAGGAACCTCATACCTCTGCTCCCTGTACCACCACCATGAACACATGACCTGCACCACACTTCTCACCCCTCTGCCTCAATACCCTTCTGCTTTTCAGTCAGAAAATTTCCCCAAAGGCCATTGCTGGAGGATTACATTTCTGTTTCTTCAGAGGCTCGAGCAGAGCTCTTTCCTCTCCCTTTACACCCCTTTGCCTGGGAAGGACCTGCTGCCTCATTAAGACAACCACTCCTTCAGCATCACTGGAGGTGAAAGGCCCTCAAAACACCCATCTGGCTCACACATGGACCATTTCCTTTGGGTGACCACACTACAGGGGCTGGAGAAATAGCTGTGGAAACTTGAAATCATATTAAAGAAGGAATTTCTTCAGATTCCTAGTTTCTAGATTAAAAGCAAATTCAGGAGGTTACGTTAAGGATCATCTCATGATCCGCAGCTTGGAGCACTCTCTAGTCTGAAATACCTGGTAGAGAGCAGCATGGCTAAGGCCTGTTTGCATTGTGGAAAAGGGGCTTTCCCTTTCTCAGAGACCTGTAAATAAATGCTCCCAATAAATGCTATCTTCTTTCTCCCAGGCCCACAAGCCCCAGTAGATGTCTGTCATTTCTCGTTTCCAGGATCCTAACTGCATCTCCCCTGTTAAACTTCCCATACACTTTGGACCAGCTTTCCTGCATCCAGCCGCAAAAGCCGTATCAAGCTGTCTCCTCTCAGTGAACTTCTAGCACCTTCTCCCCATCTTTTCAGGCTTCATTAGAGTAATTACAGGCAGGAGAAGTGGCAGATAAGGGGAACGGAAGAAACAGTGAGGTAAGCAGACTTCAGGGCAACCTGCTGCACACGAAAAATAATGGCTGGGCTAAGTGGGGAGGGAAAGTTGTTCCCAGATGCAGGCTGGTTCCCTGCCATGAAGGGAAGGCAGGCTGGAAAGAGGAGGGAGCAGAGAATGAACCTGGGGAAGGCAGGATAGATCAGGAGGTTTGGCTCAGCATACCAGCTCCCAGGATACCTGGGTATGGCAGAACAGACACCTGAACTGAGGACTCAGTTGAGGCTGAGGAGCTGCAGCTGCTCAGTGTCTGTGGTGGAAGGGTTGCCTCCCTCATAGTCCCTTTTTCTCCAAGAGCTTCTTTCACAGCCTTTCACCTTTACCCAGAAAAGACACTGCACTTCCTCTTGGCCTCTTTGACCTCTTGGTTTTTGGGGTGGTTGTGTTTTTTCTTTCCCTTTTTTTTTTTTTTAAATTTTTGAGTTACAACCTGAAAACACAGCTCCCTTTCTTTGGATTTGATCAAAGCTGTGAGGCTGGAATGATTCCATGCATTTCTTGTTTTGCTGGTAGAAGGCATTGATTGCAACACGGCTCTTGCCGGCCTGAAGCTCTCTGGCCAGGGCGCAGGAAGCACTGAACATGCCATTCTAAGATTAGCACAAGTAGCCCACGGGCTGTGTCCTCCCGAAACTGCCAGCTGCAGACTCTCCGATTACGCTACGCGTTTTGCGACAGGAAAAGTCCTTTCTCAGACCCTTTCTGGCAATTACACTGCTGTCCTGTATCCAGCTTTTTCTACAGCTTCTTTTTTTCTTTTTCCCCAGCTGGTGTGCCAGGCTTTATGTCTTCTAGTCAAGGAAAAGCACTGTACCAGAGCACTTGGATGCAAAAAGTCCCTTCCTTGCACTGCCAGGAGAACAACACCCCCCTGACTTCCAGAGTCTGGACTGGCAGTCTCCCTCCCACTGGGAGGAAGGTAGGGAGCCTCACTTTCTCACTCTCACGGCAAAGCATGTACCAGCCCTCAGCCTCTTCCACGACTAAGACACGCGTCTGCTCCTCTCACCCAAGAGCTCAGTGCCGGCTGTCTCCTGCCCCGCAATATTCATGGAACCTTTCCCATTCATGGTCATTTTTCCTGTCTCAGTGACATAGCCCACCACTTTTATGAATGATGAAGAGGAGCAGCTCTGCTCTTTTTTGGCAAAAAATGTGAAATTACTCAGATGTTAATTTTGTGGTCTTTGCAGCCAGCTGCTGATTCTTTTCCTTTTCAGAAGAGAAGCATGGTCAGACTGCATGGACTAAAACTAGCAAGTTAAGGTAAAAGACTTACTCCATCAGTAATTTGGTGACTGCTACTCTGAGGTCTTTTACTGTTCCCTAAAAATAAGTGACTAAGCATTAGAAAAATCTCAGACAGAGTGGCAAAACAGGAATTGAATTATACCATCAATGTAAGCATGGTCCTGTCTGCCAGAGAGGAAGTGCAACTAGCAAGTTCTCTGTAAGGGGTTTCACTTTCCTCTTCCAAACAACTTCATAAAATTGAGTAAATTTGAAAATAATTTTCAACCCCATCTTTCTTCATCTGCTTTTAAAACTGAACCTGGTCCCTTTGGTAGCACTGGATAAGAACAATCCCAACTTCACCGGGAATTTAATGTGCCAGAAAATGCGAGGGGTAGTAAGGCTGCCTGATGTGGGAGTAATAACATCTTACAGAGGGAGCCTCTCAGGACAGCAGTGTCCCGACCTGGCTCAGTGACATTTGCCAATTCTCCTGCTAGAGCCCATGGACCCACCATGGGCACCAGGTGAGACAAGGTGCATATTAAAGGCCCACAGAAAAGAAGTCAAGAGATTGAAGAGTTTCTCTGTGCATCCCATTTGGGTACTCACAAAAAGCTTTTGTTAAAGATCATGTATTTAAGCTACAGGTGGGGAGTGTCACTGCAGACAAGTTTCTTATGAAATCAAAATTGCAAAGACTCCTGGGGAAAAATGGAAAGCCAGAGGTAGCTTTGGGAATGAATTTTAATGTCATGCTGGGACTGGTGCAAAACTAGCTACAACAGCTCTCAGCTAGCAGCTTTGGTCATGACCCACCCCCTTGCAATTGAAAGCTATCATGACTCCATCTCACAGGATTGGTATCCCATGAGTTTTGTCACTGCCCATAATATGGTACTGGAAATGCTAGTCTGAAAGGGTACCAGTGGGAGTCAGAAGCAGATACTGAAGGAGAAGTTCAGGTTTGGATTTGTGCAGCTGGTTTGGCTGATGAAAAGAGCAAAGGTCTATTAGCTGCCATACAGTGGAGTGTTTTGGCTTAAGCAGCACTTAAATACCAGCTGAATAACAGCAGAGATCTGTACTGCTCTAGCCTCCTTCTCTCCCCTATGAAACCTCTGACTTGTCTGCTTTTGCAGGTAGGGTATTTTGGGCAGATGAAGCACCTGTTATCTGAGATGCAAGCCCTCCACAGCACCTTGCAAGGCTGGAGTATTCAGCGGCTCTGAAATCAGTGACGGTTACACAATTTTTGGTACTGGTCCTGTGCACTTTCCACCCCCATTCTCATGCTGGTGGTTTTGAGGCGAGTCCCTGACTTCCACATCCCTCCCTTGCTTCTAAAGAGCTTTGCAGGAACAATTCCCTGCAGCCCCTTTTCATACCAGTGCATGATGCCAGCCGCCTTCCCATACCCTGCACTCACACAAGCTCTGCAAAGCTCCGTCGTGACCCTCACAGGGCTTTTTGTTGCTGCACATACAATCTACCTCAGCAAAAGCAAATATGGCAAAATAATGACAAATATAGTGTGTCAGAGGCAGACACAATAAGGCATATGAGGGTCAGGGCTAGTGTCTTGATTATGCAAACAGGATCCAGAAATAGTGATCCTCAGCACCCAGCTCTGAACACTGGAGCAGCTGTCAGTATGCTATATGAAAACAAGAGAGGGTCTCTGCTTTTGGGGTGCAGTTTCATAAGGTCCTGGTTTTGGCAGAAAGACAGCTTATGTTTCCAACTGCTCATTCTCTCTTGACCTTTCCTTTCCCCCTTCCCCCCTCCCTCGCACCAGTGTGAGTTTGTGGGGCTGGGCTGTAAACTAGATCACTGAAATGATCTGGGCTAAAAATATGTCCCTTAACTCTTTACAAGGTTATTTTTAACCCAGATCATTTCAGCAATCAAGTTCGCAGCACAGCCGGACAAGCGCTTGCACTGCCGTAGCAGGAGGGGATGGAGGGGTGGCAGGAGCAGACTGCGGCACAGGGGTGAGGACTTCCCTTCAACTGCTCTGGCCAGAGGCTGAGGAAATTGCGTCCTTATGTGTCCTC